GCAAATGGGGAAACTGAGGGAGGCCCAAGCTGAGCCGTTGCCAGCCAGGGCCCACTGCACAGAGAGGGTCACATCTGAGCATCTGGCTTTTTGAGCTGCTAGAGCCCAGGGCCCCTTGTGTTGTGGTTTCATGGCCGATTTTCTGAGGAAGCAGAGTCTCTGGGCACAGATGCAGTGGTGCCGATGAGGTGGCTGATGGGAAGGGGGCTGGAGAGTGCCCAGGGGCCCTGGAAAGTCCTTGGCTTGCTTCTGTAATAGCCCAGCTTGCCCTCTGTCCTCTGCCCTTTTTTCTTTTTTCCCCACAGAGGCCCTTCCCTCCCCCTTTTCTTTAGGAAGTAGCTAGTTTTGGTGAAAGAGGGATGCAGGGAGCAGGGGGGTACCTCCAGGTAGTGCTGTGTTTTAGTAAAGAAAGGAATATGGACCCCTAAGGATGACGTCTGTCGTGGAACTGGAGGCAGAGAAGGGGTGGGGTGAGGGACTGAGGGCTCATGGATGGGCCCTGCCTAACCAGGGCCTCTCAGTGAAGGCTCCAGGGGCGGCCAAAAGGCTCCCAGGCCCCCACCCCTTCCAGGGAACCAGAGCCCTCAGTCCCTGGAAGAGCTTAGGGAGAGAGAGAGAGCCGCACCCTGGCTCCTGTTCCTGTTCCTGGTGATCGGTTCTAGGGAATTTCCTGGGAGGGGGCTATGGCTGGAAGCCCCCAGGGGAGGCCTCCTTCCTGTGTGAAGGCTTCTTTTCTTCTCAGATTGAGCCCCGTGATACTTCCAGAGCCAGGCCTGGGGCTGGAAGGGGAGTGCACTCTGGGAGGGGTGGTGGGGTTCCCTCTGTGCCAGGTTAACCCTTCAGAGCCTGAGAGCTGTGAGCCCCCTCCCTCGGGGGCATGGACTGCAGCTTCCTACCTGTCTGAGGAGGAGGGGATGTGCAGAACTAGGCGGAGGGGCACTCACTGGGGTCCTCCTACCCACCCAGCTGGAGCCAGGAACCCCCAGATCCCTTCCTTTGTAGCCAGAACATTCCGTCTGCCAGTGGGGTTAGTGAGTTTTCCAAGCCTGGGCCCTGGGCATGTCCGAACAAATCCGTGCCCCTACCCCACCCCCTCCAGCCACCCTCCTCTATCCCCATAGCCTTGGGACAGGTGCCACATCGGATTTCCTCTTGCCGGTCTGGGCTGCCGGGCCCTTCCTAGAGAGATTTGGCCCGGGTCAGCGGCGGGTGGTGGTGCCTCCCACCAGGGGAGCAAGGCATTCAGACCCCAGGAGAGGATTTCCAAGACCCTCTCTGTCCCCCTCACTCTGTACCCATCCGTGAATCAGGCCATGTCTGTCCCCCGCCTGCCCGGGCTCCACCCTTAGAGTGATTCTTCCAAGTCCTAGTGTTGAGGAATGCTGCCTCTTGAGGCCATATTCTTCATGCTTCAGGGTCCAGAGGAAGTGTGCTCAGTCCCTTCCCCCTTCCACCTGAGGATTCTTACCCTCTGAATCCGGGGACTTTGCATAGGGCTCCATGCCTGAGTTTCCCCAGCGTCCCTGCCCTCTAGGGAGGGTGGCACCGCCTGGAAGCTACCTGGACTTTACTTGGAAATGAAGGTGGGACCGTGCTGGGGTCTTGGGTCATGGCTGCAGCCACTGAGCCTGGCAGAGAGCCAGAGGTGGACTGACAGGTGCTGCCCAAGGGCAGGGCCAGACCTAGGGAAGCCCCTGGCAGTGTGTCCCTCCCCCGGGCTCCAGATGGCTCTCTAGGGACAGCATGGTCCTGGCACCTGATCCCTCTTGGGCCTGGAAGTCCCCTCTAAAGGTTTCCATCTCTGTTCCACCAAGCACCCCTGGTAGGGCAGTAGCCAGGGGTCAGAAAGACATGGCAGGCGGACCACTTTCCCAGGGAGGGGACCTTGCCAGCTGTGTGTATCTTGGGCCTCTCCTAGAGGCCCCTATGGGTTCAGAGCTTTATCCTGCCTGCTCTGTGGCTTTTGTGGTGGGGAGATCAGTTTCCAGACACCCCCGCCATCAGTCCCCCCCTCTCCTCCCTGGAGCTGTTCCCACCTGTTAACAGCCCTCCCTTCTTGGAGTGCCAGGAGACGTGTGTGTACATATGTGTGCTGCGTATGTGTGCGACGTGGCCTGGGTGGGGTTGGGGATGTTTTGTGCTGGGGGGGGGGGTGTGGCAGGAGCAGACATGGGCGCCCCCCAGGCCCACATGCCTGCTGAGGGGCCTTGTTTCAGGAAGCAGACGGGGCGGCGTGGTGTCACTTAACCCGCCCCAGCTCTCTGCCCAGCTGCTGTCCCCCTGCTGGGCTGAGCTCTGTCCTGCTCTGCCCAGCTGGGGGCAGACCGGAGGGGGGTGGTGTGGTTGGAGCCGTGGCCTGGGAGACAGGGGGCCTAGTCCTCACCCAGCCTGTTGCGTAACTTTGACCGGGTCCCGCCCCTTTCCCAGGTCCCTACTTCCCTGTCTGTCGAGGGACAGGTCTTTGGGATATAGTGACCTTGTATAGTGGGGTCTCTTTCTGAGAGCTGAGGAAGCTGTCAAGGCTCCTGGGGGGGCTCTCAGCTTTCCCACCATGGCCTGAGCCCTGGAGATGCCCCCGAGCTAACTGGCCCTCCTTCCCATCTCTTCCAGTTGTACTATTGGACTTTGCCGCCGCTAAAGGGGAACTTGGCTGGCTCACGCACCCATATGGCAAAGGGGTAAGCCTTCAAAGTCAAGTAGGGGCACGGGGATGGGGAAACTGAGACCCAGTGAGGATGGGGTCAGCCTAGATCAAATAGCTCAGCCAGAGATCGAACTCAGGGTCCCGCTTCCCACACCAGGCTCTGCCATCCAGGCTGGGTAGGCTGGGGGTTGGCAGGTAGGGGAGGGACCTGAGAGGCAGAAAGGACTGGGGAGACAGCTGAAGGCCCTCCCAGAGCAGTGGCCCTCGGATGACCCAGTGGGCCGAAGCTCAGAGGACCCCCCACCTAGTTTCCTCTACCTACCTCTTGGGAGGGTAAGGGTTGAAGGTTCCCTGTCTTCAAGGTCCCAGCCCAGAAGGTGAGAGGTAAGGGAGAGACAGGGAACAGTGGCTCCCAGGAAACTGGATCTAGTTCCTTCCTGCTGGGCCTCTCTCCCTTCTCCACCGGCTGTTACTTCCCCTTCCTGCTAGGGGCTGATTTGTTTTGCCTCATCCCCACCCAAGTTTCCTCCCCTCTGTCCTGCCCTCTTGTGACCACGATTGGTGGACAAGACACTGGGATCCTTTTCCCAGCCTCGTGTGATTTTGGGGAAGATACTGCTGCTCTCTGGGCCTCAGTTTCCCCTCTGTGTAATGGGCACTTGCTGAGTTTGTCCGGGGGCCCTGAGCCAGGGAGAAGTATGTTTCTTGGGGGGGGGGGGGGGGGGGGGGTGCCGTTCCCACTGCTGGCCAGCTCTGCGTGAGTCAGGTGCCTATCCCTGGCCACCTTAGCCCTGTGCAGGCCTGAGATGTAGCTCTGTAGATTTCCAGGATCCTAGAATGATACAGATCACCTAATCCAACCCAGTCATTATACAGAGTGGGAACCTGAGGCCCGAGGGCATTCGAGAGGGGCCTTGGGCAGCGTCATGTAGTGTAGTCCAGGCCTCTTTCCCCAGCCCCTCTGCTTTTATTCATTCATTCACTTGTTCGTTCAACAAATATTTTCCTGAGCACCTACTCTGTTCCAGGTAGGCCCTGGGGTTACATAAAAGAATTAGATGCAGTCCTTGCCCCAACGAACTCAAGAGTCTAGTCTGGGAGCCAGATGTAGGTATCAGCACGTAGGTTCCAAACGCTGTGATTAAGGGGGTATGGAGACTGAGAGGCAGAGGGGGCACATTTGTTTTTGACTTAACCCTTTCCCCTGCCACTCACACCTGTACACACACACACAGTAGATGATGATGATGATGATGATGATGGTGACACTGGCTGCCAGTGTGACAGTGCACTTCTTCCCCACACCAGACGACGTGCTTGGCATTTCGTAGACACTCTGTCATCTATCCTCACAGCAATTCTGCGAGGCAGACCTTGTCTCCCTCCTACAGATGCAGACTTTGAGGCTCAGAGAGCTTAAGTGATCCACCTGCGGTCACAGGGGACCCCCCAGACCCCACCCCCGGCTCCCAGTCCATATAGAGGGACAGGCCGCAGCTCAGCCACTTGCAGCCTGTGAGGACAGACTTGAAGCACCTCTCTGGGCTTCAGTTTCCCACCCCTATGGCGAGAACTATAAAACAGCATCCCGATGCCCCGCTCTGCCTCCTGGGCATTGCCTCTGGGCCTCAGTCTCTCCTCGGGCGCCTGCCCACACTAACCTGTCGCCCCCACCCCCCGCCCCCCTGCACAGTGGGACCTGATGCAGAACATCATGGACGACATGCCCATCTACATGTACTCTGTGTGCAACGTGGTGGCCGGCGACCAGGACAACTGGCTCCGCACCAACTGGGTGTACCGCGGCGAGGCCGAGCGCATCTTCATCGAGCTCAAGTTCACCGTGCGTGACTGCAACAGCTTCCCGGGGGGCGCCAGCTCCTGCAAGGAGACTTTCAACCTCTACTACGCCGAGTCGGACGTGGACTATGGCACCAACTTCCAGAAGCGCCAGTTCACCAAGATTGACACCATTGCGCCTGACGAGATCACGGTCAGCAGCGACTTCGAGGCCCGCCACGTGAAGCTGAATGTGGAGGAACGCTCCGTGGGCCCGCTTAGCCGCAAGGGCTTCTACCTGGCCTTCCAGGACATTGGCGCCTGCGTGGCGCTGCTCTCCGTCCGCGTCTACTACAAGAAGTGCCCCGAGCTGCTGCAGGGCCTGGCCCGCTTCCCCGAGACCATCGCGGGCTCCGACGCACCCTCCCTGGCCACCGTGGCTGGCACCTGCGTGGACCATGCCATGGTGCCACCTGGGGGCGAAGAGCCCCGCATGCACTGCGCGGTGGATGGCGAGTGGCTGGTGCCCATCGGTCAGTGCCTGTGCCAGGAGGGCTACGAGAAGGTGGAGGACGCCTGCCAGGGTGAGTGACGGTACAGGGGGTGGCAGGAAAAGGGGCTGCTGGGGTGGGGGCTGTGGTCCTGGCTTCTAGTGTCGGCTCTGGAACTGTGAGATCCTGGTAAGGTCATCCCTGCTCGGACTCTGACCTGCGGAGGGGTCTGTTAGTGGAAATCACAAGAGCCTTCCTGGTCTTCAGTTTCCTTATTTATGGTTGGGTTCACTCATTCACTGAGAAGGGACACACTGAAAAACAGGAGACTATGGAAGGTTATGAGCAAGGATTCGAGGACAGGAATGCCTGGGTTCAAATCCCAGCTCTACGTTTAGCTGTGTGACTTTAAGTCAGCTTCTTAACCTCTCTGGGCCTGGTTTCCTCATCTGTACAGCAGAGACAAACATAGTGCCCACCTTGTAGGGTGCTTATGATAATCAAATGACTTAATGCTCATGAAGTGCTTAGGTCAGTGCCTGACACGTAAGTGCTTTTAAGCGTGGTTGTTATTTTTGATTCATCCCACAAGTATAATTTAAATATCTACTATATACCAGCGCTGTGGACCCATGATGCAGTCTCTGGACCTCGTTCCATCCCTGTTAACTCACTGCATGACCTTAGGCAAGTCACTTAACCTGTCTGGGTCTCAGGCCGCTCTCTTGTACACGGGGTGAGGGAATTGGACCCAGGATTCCGTCCCCTGGCTGCACATGAACCACCTGGGGAGTTTTTGGAAAACGTGTGCCTTGAGGTAAGAGTGGAAGGGAAGTGTGAGATCTGACGTTCCCCAGGGCCACGGTCCCAGGTTCTCCTGATGAATCTTCTACTGCTGACAAGTGGAACCCAGAAAGGGGCCAATTGTACTGGACCCTGTCTGGGAACAGGGCCTGGGCATTTGTGAGCTCACATCAGGAGGCTGTGGCTTGGCATGGCCAGGGCCTGTGACAGCGGAAATCTCTACAGCAACGTGGAATTTTTTTCAATGGGTGACTTTTTCTAGAAATGGCTGTGGGGCAGGGCATTTGTGGAATGCAGGCCAACCTTTGGAAGGCCAGCTCATCCTCTCTCTCTGGGAATTTCTTTGCTGAGATAAGCGGGGTGTTGAGAAATTGGGGTTTAGTTGCCTGTAGTTATACGTACCCACTGGGTGATCTTGGGTAAATCTCTCTTCATCTCTGGCCTAGAATAGGAAGGCTTTTTACTTGTTTTTTTAGCTACAGATCCTGCAACACACGAAGTAGGTTGAAATGTTGGAGGAGACAGAAGCCTTTTCCGATCGGCTCCCTAAGCCCCTGGATAAGAAGTTCCTTTTCTGGCCATAAGCCTGTGCCTTAGTCTCTGCTCTGGCCCTTCCTGCCACCCCAGTGTCCTCCCAGCTCCCCTCTGCTGTCTGAGTCTCTCTTCCTTAGGCGGCCCCTGCTTTAGGTGACCTCGAGTGCACACTCCCAGTTTCAGACAATGACTGCGGGGTGGGGGGGCCCCCGAGGCAGCCCAGTGGGTCGAGCAGGCTCCTCCCACATGACATCCCCACACAAGAAGGCGGGGGGGGGGGGGGGTGGTGAGGGGCAGCTGAAAACTTTCCACAGGCTGGTGATTCAGGCCCTGCAGAGATAAGTGGACATTGGGGTTGGGGGTGTTCTTTCCAGCAAGGTGGGGGGCAGCCTTCCTTCCCCTAGAGGCGGGGGGTCAGGGATCTGGCAGGCTTTGTTTGTGAAGAGCTGGATGGGCCCCGGATAGGGAGGACTGGTTTCCATGAGCAAATCTTTGACTTTCCTGGTGGATCCTTCTCAACCGTGAGCCGCCCGGAGTCCTGGATTTTCTTCCTTGAGATCCCTCTACCACAATTAAAATTCCCTTCGGTGTGGTCCAGGGGCCACCGTGTGGCTGGGAACCCCCAGCCTGGCTGCTCTTTATCCCTGCGGATGTTCTCAGCAGCCCCTGACCATGATGCTGATGGAGAGAAAAACAGTGACTCCTGTAGACAAGTGATCTTCACCGGCAGGTGTGAGCTAGGCGAGCACTTTATCCGAACACTTGCTCAGTCCGGCCCACCTTGAGGAGGCTGAGGCTCAGAGAGGCAAAGAGACTTGTCTGGAGTCACACAGCTAAGGCGTGTGGTCGTATCAGGATTTGAATCCAGGTGATGCTGCAGCTCCCGGGCCGGAGGATGGGCCGGGAAATGGGGCGGGAAATGACCAGTTCCTTTGGAATCCCTGACTCAGCTCCTGGCCAGGAGACAAGCTCTCTGGGTAGTCCCTGGATGGCGGGTCCTGGCACAGGAGGGAGAGGGTGATCGGGGGCTGTTACTAAGCACACTGAAGGAGAAACAGAGGCAGGTGCAGGGCCCGCCCTCCCTGCCTGGCCCTCCACAGCGCCGTGGACCCAGATTCTCCCACTGGGGCTTTTACTGATGACAGATGGAGTCCAGAGAGGGGTGTGGATTCCCTGAGGTCACTGAGCACCTGGCCCAGGTCATCTTCAGAGTTCGCTCCTTTTCAGGGTTCTTTCCCCAGGAAGCTTGGCACTCAGGAAAGAGTTAAATGGACAACGGCAGGGAGGCACCTCCCAGGTGCTGTGATCGGACAGGTGGGCACACTGCCCGGAGAGCTTTCTGAGCTATGTCAGGAATGAGCCAGCTTCACTCCGGTCCCCCGCCTGCCCCCAGCCCTGCCCGGGGTGGGGGTGGGGGGGGGACAGCGGAGTCGCTCAGGCTGACCGTCATCTCCCCCGGGGCGGCTTTGTCTCTCCTTCCTGTGCTGGCATCGGCAGCCGAGCTGCTGGGGCCCTGCCTGGCGCCTTGGCCGTGGGCACTGCCGGCCAGGTGAGCAGGTGGCCAGCGGCCTTGGCCAAAGGCTCAGCCTAGCAGCTGGGAGGCCAGAACTGGAGGTGGGCACCGTGAGGAATTCCTTCTTTGGAGGCTCCTGCTCCTTCAAGGGGCCCGGCCCCCTGGGGATGTCTCCTGTCTAGTTTCCCTGTCACCCGGTTCGTAGGGACACCCCAGTCCGGGCACCAGGCTGAGCATTTCACATGGTTTCCTTCAGTCCTCACAAGCCCAGAAAGGCTGAGGACTTTAGCTCCATTTTATAGATGAGAAAACTGAGGCCCAGAGAGAGGAGACAGTGACTAGTGACCGAAAGAGCTGGCAGCTGGCATGAGGAGGGCAGTGTACTGTGCCCAGCTCGCTGCCCCTGGCATGTGTCCTACCCATAAACGATATGAACTTGGCAAGTCCCCTCTGGGCCTCATTCTCCCCATCTGTAAAATGGGTGGGTTGGACCCCTGCCGATCTAGTGATCAGGGTCCACCTCCTGTGACTTTCTACTGAAAGCCTAAGAACCTGGAGTGCTCGGGCAAGCTGTTGACTGGGTGACCTCACCTGGTGCAGCAAGGATCAGGGTCCTAGTGCTGGCGTCCTGAGTGGCCCAGGCCTAGTGGGGGTGGGGGTGGGGGGCCCAAAGAGGAAGGGAAGGCATCCTCTGGGCAGGGGATGGCTCTAGTTACAGTGGTCTTTGGGTAGGGTGGCCCCAGGCTGTGTCAGGGGCTGTTGGCAGAAGCCCTGCTTAGTCAGGACATGACTGATCCTCAGGCTGGCGGCTCTGTGAGCTGTTGACTCTTGGGCACGTCCCCTTCCTGGGGAGTGCCACCGGGCCTGATTTCTGCGGTTTCCTCTGGCCTGCTGGGTGGGAGCCACGGATGGGATGGGATGGCCGCTCCCCACCTCTGTGCCCTGCCTGCCCCGCCCTCAGCTCACACAGGGGGCAAATTCACACCCCGGCAGCTCAGTGGGGCGGCCCCTCCCTCCCTCTCCGGAGGTAAGTGGGTCCCCTGAACGGAAGGAAGGAGGCAGGGAAAGCAAACAGAAGATAAAAGGCTGGTGGTGGGGAGACAGCAGGAGGCGGAGGCTGGCGGTGGGGGGAAGCCAGGCTTATCTCTGGCACGGTGGAGGAATGTGCCTGAAGATAATTCTCCAGGGTGTGTGTGAAAGGGGCAAGGTGCTCGCCACGGGGACATCCCCACATGGGGCTGGGGAGTGAGAAGCCACCGGGGTCTGGGGCCTGGGGCCGACATTTCCCCTGGACAGTTTCCCCTCGTCGGCAGGGTCGATGACTCCTGGGTCACCATTTGCTGCCCGTCAGGGCAGGAGACAAAGTCCACGCGCTTTCCCCCTGAGCCTCGGGGAGGTGACTGGCCCCAGGTGAATTGCCACTATGACCTCTTGACCCCGTGACCTCGCCACTACCAGTTTGGGAGGTGGTTGGGCCTGGGGGGAGGGGCTCTGCCAGGGGCTAGATTTGCGTCACTCCAGAGGGTGTGTGTCCCTAAGTCACTCCACGCTGCCATCTGAGAGGCGGGCACGGGGAACTGGAAAAACCGGGGTGCCGCTCTGGGTGCAGCCACCGTGCCCCAGTTCCCCTGCTCGGTGGGGCCCGGGCCTACCAGGCAACCTGCACCAGAGAAGCTCTCCATAGGTGTGCGTGCCAAGGCCGGGCTCTGGCGCCGGGCGGGTGGGCATCCTGGTGCGCCATCCCTGCAGGGCCTCCGAGGGCACTGCAACCCTACTCACTTCCGTGGCGAGTGTTTAACGTACACGTCCTAGGCTTTGCCATCTTTGCGCGTTCATTCGCTCATTCGCCTATATCCATCCAGTCAACAGACGTTAGCTGAACACCTACTGCATGCCAGACCCGGGGCCGGGCCATGGGACGTATAGAAATGGGACTCTGTACCTGGTCTCCAGGAGCTGCCGGTCTCAGAGAAGTTCCTCATGTGAGCAGAAATCATTTCAAATGGAGCACGAAAGCCAGGCTGTGAATTCCCCTGAAGCAGAAAGTGTTTATCTCTCTCACTATCGTCTCCCAGATTGTGCCAGACACGTAGGAAGTGCCCAACTTCTATTTGGTAAACAGAAGATTGAGTAATAGATGCCCTAATGGGGCAGAAGAGGGCCAGAAGTTGGGCAGTCTGGGACGGCTGTGGAGAGGCGCTCAAGCTGGGTATTGAGGGAGGCATAGGAGTTCCCCGGTTGGCTAAGGGACCATGGGTGTTTGTGTATGTGCGAACACCCAGTGCGTGACCCCGTCCCCACTTGCGTGTCCAGAATGCCAGGAAATCTGACCAAGTCAGAAAGACGCGGGGGCTTGTTGGTTGGTGTCCTCCGTGCAGATTCTGGGGCGCCCCCGAGCACGGGCACACCCTCCAGGGCCCCCGAGGACAGCCCCTCGTAGTTGTGCGGCTGGAGGAGGGGGCAGCACATTCCCGTCAGGCAAGTACTTGCCCTGTCGATGCTGCCTCTCCACTGTATTATCTAGCATATCCACAGCGGAAATCTCTCCAAATTCCCTCTTTCCTGCCGGCAGCAGTCTGGCCACCCCCGGGCTCTGGGGCCAAAGAATGGAAGCTGACTCTTCCCCCCACCCTCCACCTTCCTCCTCTTGGCACAGGGCTGGGGGCGCTGGGGAGCAACCGCCTGGTGGGGAGTGGGGGCACGGGGTGGGGAGGGGGGGTTGCAGGTGGCTAACACCTTCTGGGTAGAACCAAGCCTGAGCTGTGGGGGTTTGTGGGCCCCTCCCCAGCCTGAGGGCCTGGGCCGGAAGGTGTGATGGTGGTTCTAGGGGCCCCTGAACATCCCCACTCCATTGGGCCCAGACACCTGGAGCCAGTACTTACCCAGCGCACAGGCCCCTCCAGGGACAAGTCAGGGGACTTGGGGGAGTGAAATCCCAGCATAAAATGGCCCAGCTCTCTGGAATTTCGGTTTTCCTTGAACATTTGGGGGAGGAGAGAGCTATTTTTGTGATGTAACAGATACATAAGGAGGAATGCAAAACGCATGTGGATTTCTGAAGTACAGTAGGAGGCTTGGTTCCCCAGCCAACACTCCGGGCTCGATTCTGCCTTTCCTTTGCATTGGCCATTATTGTGCCCAGGCTGAGAAAAGAGCTTTGTCAGGGAGGTGCCCCCCCCCCCCCGCTGCCCCCATCGCCCCCCAATCCGCTACCCTCAGCTGCTCTGAAATTAGTCTTGGGATTTTCTGGCTGTTGAAGCGGGTCAGGACTCATCTCCTGTCTCTTCGGGCTCCTTTTAGAAATGTTGATTTCTCTTTGTGCTAAATCAAGATGTTTGTGGGAGGAGAGGGGCTCAAAGTCAAGCGTCCTGGGTTTAGGTTTTGGTTTCGTGTCTTAGGAGCTTGTTGACCTTGGACACGTGGTCTTGCCTCTCTGGGCATCAGACTCCTCTCCCCGAAAGTGGCATGAATGATACGGGGCGCCAGTTTAACAGGCTGGTGGTGGGGACTAGGAGTGTCAGATGCTTGCTGGGCCCAGGAGCTGCACACAGTAGGTGCTCAATCAGCGGTCCCTGCTAGTGACTGGGGCTCCGGGCTCTGCAAGAGCGGGCGTTGGGTCCCAGGCCCCCTCTGTCTGCTCTGCGGCCTGCGCCCTTTCAGGGCCCGGGCTGGGGTTCTGACGTGACAGCACGTGGAGGAACGGGCTGCCAGCGTGCCCTTGGAGTCCTGTCCCCTGACTCCCAGTCCTGCTCCCCTCCTCCTCTCACACAGGGAACGGGACAAGGAGGGAGACTCTGCCCAAGAATTTTCTTGACAGTGCGGATCTGACCGTGCCATTTTGCTCTCTACATCAAACCTTCAGTCCTTCAGTGGCACTCATTGTCCCTAGGATAAAGTCCTGGCTCCTTGGCCTGGCATTAAAGGCCTTTCTCAGTCTGGCCCCTGGAAACCTGTCAGCCTTAATGCCTCCTGCCCCCACTCGTACTTTCTGTGCTTTCTGTGTTAGTCCTGCTCTTTCTCGGCCTGACCCTCCTCCAACACTCCTGCCCCACTGAACTCCTACTCAGCCTCTAAGCCCCAGCTGAACTGTCCCCACTCTGACTCCTCAGACCTTAGCTCTTGCCCGCCCCAATGACAGACATTATCGTGTGTTCCTGTCCCCTGAGTTCAGGGGCTTTGTCTCATCTCGGGGTTCGTGCCACAGAACAAAGAACGTGGCACTAAGGTGGGAGGTGTCTCAGGACATTGTCCACAGAATAAGCTGGAGGGAGGTACAGTCATGGTAGGGCGGTAGAAGAGGTTGTAGGAGAGGGTGATCCCACCCCACCCTGGCCACTTGAGCAGCTGCCTAAGCCCTGGGCTGCCCTGGAGAGTGGGCCTCGTGTCTGGGCAGCTTCCTGCCTAGGAAGCCAGGAGGGGGCTCGGGGCAGGAGCAGGACAGGCTGGTGGGAGGAAGAAGCCTCTGGAGTCAGGTGCCTGAGCCCCTAGCCGGCCTGGCCAGGACAGGACCCTCCCCCCAGGGGGAGGAAAAGCTGCTTCCTGGCGGCCCTCGTGAGTGGCGGAAATGACTCGATCCTGGAGGCAGCTCCACGGAAGATGCCGGGGGAGGGGGGGAAGGAGGGGACCGGCCTTTCCTGCTTCCTGGCGGGCCAGCCCCGGAACAGGAAGGCAGTCGGGTCCTGGGGTGGGGGAACACCTGCAGGGGTGGCATCCTGAGCGGGTGTGCCTGGCTGATCAGCTGAGATGGTGGTGAGAGTCCGTCCACAAGCACCAACGGTGTGGATGTAGTTACTGCCCTGGGCAGCTTGAACCTTAGGTGGGGACCCCTCAGGCTGGTCTGCACGGATCAAAGGAGAGGAGGCAGGCGGGCAGCGCGCTCTGTCCGGGGCCGAGCCAGGTGTGAGGTCGGATTCTCCGGAAGCCAAAAGGGGAGACGGAAGCCTTGAACGCCAGGCTCAGGTGTGGCCCTTGTTTCGAGAGCAGGTGGGGAGGGCGCGGAGGTTCGGAGCACAGGGGCGAGGCACTCGTTGTAATTTTAATTTAATTGTTTTAAAATTTAAATCCAAGTTGGTTAACACGCAGTGTAACAATCACAAGATGTTTCTCCAGAGAGAAAACAGGCCCACAGGGGTGTGTTTAGCAACTTGCACGGGGTCCCCTGGCAAGGTCCCACTAGAGAAGCCGCTGAGGGGGTGAACTGTCTCTCCCTGTGTCTGCCAGCCTGCTCCCCTGGATTCTTCAAGTCCGAGGTGTCCGAGAGCCCCTGTCTGAAGTGCCCCGTGCACACCCTGCTGTCCCCCGAGGGGGCCACCTTCTGTGAGTGCGAGGAAGGCTACTTCCGGGCACCGCAGGACCTGCTGTCGATGCCCTGCACTCGTGAGTCTTGCAGCGGGTCGGGGAGGTTGGCCGGGGGGCGTGTGGCGTGCCGGTTGACATGTCCAGGCTCCCGGGGCCTGAACTCTGCCCTCTGTGCAGGCCCGCCCTCCGCCCCGCACTACCTCACGGCTGTGGGCATGGGCGCCAAAGTGGAGCTGCGCTGGACACCCCCCCAGGACAGCGGGGGCCGTGAGGACATCATCTACAGCGTCACCTGTGAACAGTGCTGGCCCGAGTCCGGGGAGTGCGGGCCCTGCGAGGCCAGCGTGCGCTACTCCGAGCCGCCGCACGCGCTGACCCGCACCAGCGTGATCGTCAGTGACCTGGAGCCGCACATGAACTACACCTTCGCGGTAGAGGCCCGCAACGGTGTCTCGGGCCTGGTGGCCAGCCGCAGCTTCCGCACTGCCAGTGTCAGCATCAACCAGACAGGTGAGGGCTGGCCCGGCTGTGCCTCTGAGGCCATCCGGGATGCGGGCGGGGCTTCCGGAGGGTGGCCACCCAGGGTGCAGCTGTGTCCGGAGACGGGCAGCAGCAGGTGGTTAAAGTCATAGTCTGTGGGGTTGCTTCCGAGCTCTGTGACCTCTCTGGGCCTCAGTTTCCTCACCTGTAAAATGGGAGTAGTAAGAATAGAGTTATTGAGAGGATTCAATAAACTGTTATATATGAGGCTCTTAGAACAGTGCCCAGTCCACAGACAGGTTATACCAAGAGTCCCCTGTCGCTTTACTTTATTATTTATGCACTCGTAAATATTCGTAGGGCACCCCGAATGTACCAGCCCACTGGATCCAGCGCCTGCGGCTCTGTGCTCTGGGGCTGGAAGTTAAGAATCCCAGCTGGGGGGGGAGGGGGGCACCTGGGTGGCTCAGTCCGTTAAGCGTCCAACTTCAGCTCAAGGTCATGATCTCACGGCTTGTGGGTTCGAGCCCCATGTGGGGCTCTGTGCTGATGGCTCAGAGCCTGGAGCCGGCTTCGGATTCTGTGTCTCCCTCTCTCTGACCCCTCCCCCGTTCACGCTCTGTCTCTCTCTGTCTCAAAAATAAATACACATTACAAAAATTAAAAAAGAAAAAAGTAGAAAAAGAAAAGAAAAGCCCTGAAAGAACCAGGGCTGTGGGTGAGACTGGGTCTGGGTGCACTCACCCCCCTGCCCCCCACCAGCTCCTCACACCCTTCCCCCCTGCCACCGTCCTGCCCAGAGCCCCCCAAGGTGAAGCTGGAGGGCCGCAGCACCACCTCGCTGAGTGTCTCCTGGAGCATCCCCCCACCACAACAGAGCCGTGTGTGGAAATATGAGGTCACCTACCGCAAGAAGGTAACTCGAAGGGTCGGGGCTGGGCTGCAGGCAGGGGGACTGGCTGGTCAGAGGTGCTTATCACATCCTGCACATGGGGACACTGCGGCCGGGGGTTTTCCCAGCAGTCACCTCTCCCAGGCCAGCACAGCAGAGTGTTGGGGGAGAGAAGACACAGTGCGCTGGAATTTTCAGGAGAGAGAGTCAGGATGCAGGCAAAAACCTGGTCTTGGGGGTGCCTGGGAGGCTCAGTCGGTTAAGTGTGGGACTTCGGCTCAGGTCATGATCTCACGGCTCGTGGGTTCGAGCCCCGCGTCGGGCTCTGGACTGACAGCTCGGAGCCTGGAGCCTGCTTCGGATGCTGTGTCTCCCTCTCTCTGCTCCTCCCTGCTCATTCTCTCCCTCCCCCCCCCCCCATAAATAAATGAACATTAAAATAATTTTTTTTAAAAGGCTGGTCTTTAAAAAAGCCTGACCCAACCTGGTCAGACAGACCTAGGTGTGAGTTTTGGGTCGTGCACCTGCTGGCTATAACCTTGTGTGACTCACTTCGTTTCTCTGAGCCTCAGTTTCCTCGTCTGTAAGAAGAGTGTCGAGTGTGCTAGAGAAAGTGAGCCTCCTTGCTAGGCTGGGCTGGGAGTGGTCTCTGGCGGGCTGATACCCCTGCTCTGCCCTCATCATCGGCCCCTCTCTCCGTGGCCACCCCCAGGGGGACTCCAACAGCTACAACGTGCGCCGCACCGAGGGCTTCTCCGTGACCCTGGACGACCTGGCTCCGGATACCACCTACCTGGTCCAGGTGCAGGCGCTGACGCAGGAAGGCCAGGGGGCCGGCAGCAAGATTCATGAGTTCCAGACGTTGTGTGAGTTGGGTACCGGGAACGTGGGCCCTGAAACAGAACAGGTGGGACATCTGGGAGGAGGAAACGGATCAGAGAACTTAGCAATGCCCCCCTCCTGGTCAGCCTGGGCCTGGGATAGCCCTGTGTGGGGGTCAGCCCCAAGTCTGGGGAAGGGGCGGAATTGAGGGCTGGGGGCGGGGGACCAAGGACGTGCATTCAGGGCAGTATTGTGAGAAGGAGGGACGTAGGGTCCGGCATTGGCAGACTCGGTTCAAATCCCGTGTCACCGAGAGAGTCCCACACACCTGGAAAACTTACTGTTTTCCCTGGGGAGGACCTATCATTTGCCATCTATGAAATGGGAATAAATATTCTCATGCACCGTCACAAGTAAAAGCATCCAGCACATGTCTCGGGTCCCTCAAGTGGCCT